TGAAAGCTTGGATGTGCGCGTGGTGTAGTAGATAATGACTCAGAATTGTTAATTGGAGAGCCGAGTTCCAATATCAAATATTTTTCAGAAATGTAGGAACCAACCTCTTGTCCCCGCAGCTATGGATTAATTAGTAAAACTTATATCACTAAATCATTTCCCAAAAAAAAAAAAATCTAAAAATACTTTGTGCCTTTAAATAATCTTCAAGGAGTTATTAAGTTATAGTAGAATCAATCATTATAACACTTGTAGAACTGGAAATGATTTAAACTTTTCTTCTTTAATATTATAAGGAACTGTTGTATTTGAATGTGCAAATTAACATATGGTATTACTTAAGCGTAACATATAGTGGATACACATTTAATTATTAAATAGTATATTTATTTACATTCGTCTACCGGTCTGAATATTCGTGAATTATTATCAAAAAAATATGCGCTCTCCGGCAGTATTCAAACCTGGGTCCTCTTTGACAGGAGAAAGCATATCCGACATGCATATATCAACTCAGCTACGGAATGAGTCGCTGATCAAGCAAAGCGTCTACCTAAATATGGGCATCCACTAAAAGTAACGTTTAAGGAATAGAAATTTGCCGGATCAATAAATAATAAAAAAAATCTATTACTTCTTTAGAAATTAACATACATAAATATTTATTTTAGTCAATCAGCAATCTTGTAGAGTGATGATAAAATTATATATTTTGCATAAGATACGCATTTTTGATATAATCTCTTTTCTTTTCAAATCATTTAATTATTTAGTGAATATCAGTTACAACGACCGAATGTAATGCAGTGAAAAGTTCAAATTGAAATTCCGGTGCGTGTCAGATTACGGACTTATTTATAATCTCTTATACATGTATCCCTACGCGAATCAAAACAGAAAAGAACACGTAAGAAATAGTTCGGAGATGAAAGCTGAAACAAATAGAAACAAAAAAAAAAAACTGACAGCAAAGTAAAAAAGAAATTTCTAAACACTATGTTACTGACATTAAATAATTCCACCTTGAAAAAAAAAACAAAAAACATAAAATAAAAAGATAAAACGCAAGAACACTTCATGATGTTTTTAAAAAAGTACAGAATGTATGTTGGATCAAAATGAACAAGATAAATTGTGAGACCCTAGGAGTCTTGGGGAAAAAAAGAAACAAAATTTTAAAAAGGCAAATACAATAAAAAAAAAAAAAATGCAAGCCATTTAATTGTTGATTGAATCATGTGAAAAACAGTACAAGAAACAAGACTATGAAGGAAAGGCAAAGGAAAAGAAAAACGTCTAAATAAAAAAAGGGGTTGAAATGAATGAATAAATAAAAAAAAATCTGAACGGCAGAAGATATCAAAAACAGAAAGTTTCAGAAAAACGGGTAAAGACAGCGTAAAAAAAAAAAAATTGAAAAAACGAAAAAAAAAAAAAAATCTAAAGCGTCCGAGAAATTTCAAAACAGAAAATAAAGAATAAATAACTGCTTAAAGGTAGACGTTTTCAAGTAAAGAAAAAAACAAACAACCAAAAAAAAAAAAAAAACAAAACAAAAAAAAACACGCTCCCCCCCCCCAAGAAAAACAACAAGAACAAAAAAAAATGCAAGCTTATTCTTTACTTCCAGAAGAATTGTGGTAGGAAATTGTACTTGACTATTTGTTCACTTTACTAAAATTTGATTATGAGTATATTTATTTTATTAAAGAGAATTTCAATATTTTTTTCTGAACCCAATGGTAAAATAACATTGTACTGCGTAAATTATCATTCAAGAACGTGGATAAATATAGTTTTAGCACAATTTTCAGTTTATTTGTTCTCGTTGACGTTGTGTAATGGTTAGCACGCTGGTCAAGCTAAAACAATTACGACTGAATAGTGAGTTCCATTCTCACAGAGTGCTCCACGTTTTCGGCCTTGTACCACATCTAAGCTAAGCTTAGAAAATCGTGGCTACTTCGACCTGGTGTAATGGTTAGCATGCTTGTCTTGATAGACCTATTACGGCTGAGTTGTGAGTTCGATCCTCGCGGGGTGTTCTACACTTTTGGTTGTGTGCCTCATCCAAGCTACGTTTAGAAAACCATTTATTCTCGTTTTATGTGCATCGTATATATGGGTCAATCGTCGAAGTCTGGACACAGGAAATATCATTAACTATATTATTTTACTTCCGCTTTTTAACATTGTTTTGTCGAAAGAAGAAAGAATTGAACTTGGTTTCTTTTTCTGTGGTATGCTAAAGAAGAATGTGTACTCAATGAAAATCACAGATGCAACTTACGTGAATGAACGCATAAAGATGAAATGTGCTAAAACTGACAGCAATATGGAGTTATTGCATTGATTTCACGTGAATCTTCCAAAGGCCATCAACCTTTGCATCACAAATGATGGAAACCATATTAAAGATATCATTTGTTAATATTCCAATTCAATAAAATGTTGAAAATTTAATTTCTTAAAAATATGCATTTTTGGCTATGTGTCCTGACTTTACGGACACCCTGTATAGATCCCAGAGG